TAATTCAAGGTCACAATCAGCGGAAGAATGTATGTTTTTGGCACAGTTAAACAGACAAACGCAGTAAAACATTCACTGGTACAGTTGGTTATAATAATAATTGTTTCGATTACACCAATCGCATTCCCTTCATATAAGTAGGTCACTACACGTTCATCTGTACTCATCTAGTCCTACCAGGCTTTAAACGCATGGTTTCGGAGGTTATCTGATAATGGCATGAAACATTTTTAAGTACGTCAAACTACCCCAATACGAGCTCTGATGAATATGCCATCATTGCCTTCAATGATTCACTTTCAATTGTATATGGTGATTTTAATTCAAGTGACTGTATATTTTTTCATCAGTAGGTAGACAAAATATATTAGGATTCCACGCTTGTTTGAGTTCTCAGATAGATGTGGATACACATGTGATTCGTAGACGTGCTTCATTGTCTAGTCCTAATCATTATATTATTTGTGTTTTACCTAAAGTATATGGTAAGCTTGGAATGAGTAAAATCCCACATCAGACAAGGAAAGTCAAATACTGGAATTACTCAGGGGAAAATATCGAAGATCTGAAGAACGTCTTTTGTATAAACAACTAGGGATCATTTACAGATGACTCAGTGAAAAACACCTTTAATTTTATCTTAAATTCTGTTTTGATGACTGTTGTCTCAACAAAAATATTATTGTGGGTTTGAACGACTGACGTCTCCGCAACTAAGTTGATTAGGCAGGGTTAAAGAAAGAATGTACGAGGAGAAAAACTCCATTGAATTTCGAAAGCTGAACGGTCTGATAAACCTAGCGGTTAGACGTCTGAACTCAATGTATATTCAGAAACTCCAGTCTCATAAAAAATTTTCAAGTGTGTAAAAACTGTTTAAAGAACTTACGGGTGAGAGGCACATCAGGAAAGATATCCAGCTGGATGTTTGTGATTTAAATAGGTCTTCTGTACATCAGTCATCTGATGTCATGCTTCATAAATACACAGGTTTGAATAAAAGTTGTGTTCCTATTTCCACTGAAACCGATGTCCGAAAATGCCTTCGGTCAATTGTTTCGTCGCAATGTCCAGGACGTGGTGAAATCCTGACCCCCTTTCTAAAAAGCGTGCTCATGTCCTATGTTATCCAGTCGCGAGCATCTTTAGCAGACCCTTCTCGTCTAACCACACACCGAAATTGTGGAGAAATGTTTCAGTTTGGAAAGGACAGGAGGCTAGGTGGCCAGTGTAAGTCCTGGCAGTGGTGGACCCTCAGTTGATACGACTTTCTTTTGAAGGCGTCGACAGATGAGGACTCAAGCGCGTGTTGAGATGATGAATCCGCTCGTTGATGATTCGATGGAGGTTCGATAGTCGGCTGACAACTAATTTGTCCTGAGCTCGTGAACCATTTTGAAGTGTTCTCGGAAATTATCTGTTTTGGAAGACAATGAAAATGAAAGCATATCAGATTCAACTTTATCACTAAGTAATTTGAAAAACGGGAGCTTCGTTATCTCAAGTATCAGCTTGGTTGCTGTTCTCTGATCTTTTCCAACAGCTCACTGTCTTTTTTAAGCAAGGGCTAGCTGTTTACATGCAGTACCCGAGTTTAGAATGAAGGGATACTGTGTGTAAAATCAAAAAGCATTTAGCGTTGACATGGCTAAAAACCCTACATATTGACCATAGGGTTCTAAAAGCTTTGACGGCTATTGCAGTGTATAGTAGTTTTCTAGGCTTGGCTTACGATTAGTCCTAAGTCATTGTGTGCCTGAACAACGGGTAGCTCAATGTTATTTATTGTGTATGTATTTGTACCTTGATAACTAATATGTATCACAATGCACTTGGAAGTTTTTATCGGCAACTGCCAAGTTTAAGATCATTCGGATAATTTCTCCAAGTCATTTTGGAGCTGTTAGCTATCGCCCTTACTTTTTATCGTCCTTTATATATTGACATCGTTAGCATGTATCAAGGCCGGTGATGATGAGAGACAAGGAATGTAATTTACATGCAAGAGGAACAACGCTGGCCCCAAAACTATACCCTGAGGCACTCAGCTGGGTGCAGTTTCCCAGCTAGAAGATAATTCCAACACCTAAGAAAGTTTCTGGTGGTAAGAATATGAAGTAGCAATAACTTCACCTTTCGTCAGAACAACGCAAAAATTATCTATGCTCCATTTTCAGTATGCACTAAAAGAGCACATTGATCCATATCAGTTCGCTTACAAACTCAAAAGAAATACCTTAGATGCTGTTCTTTTTCTGCATCATAACATAATATTTAGCGTGCGAAAGGGTCAGAAATATGTTCGATTATTTTTATGCCTTTGACTAAATTCTAGGACAACTCTAATTTATAGAGTTGATCAGCGTCTACAGCGATAGCTGGATAACCAACTTACTTTGTTCCTACCTCTCTATAAGAGAGCAGCAGACTATGTTTGGAGAAAAGTGTTCGACGTCCCTTTTGTCTCGTATGGGTGTGTCATAAGGAGCTTTTATTTCCTCCCTTTTACCTATTTCTGCGTTATCTGGCATCTTCTACAGAAAACACTATTGCTAAATATGCGAATGATCTAACAGCATGTATGCACATTTCGACCTTTCTACATACCCTTGAAATGAATGAGTTCTTGTTTCGTGTTGAATGGTGGCCGGTTGTTATTGGTCCCACACTTAACACGTACAAATGTGAAACTGGTAATTTTAGTCCGTGATGTGAACAACCCATAAGTACACTGCTGGAATCTCATAAAGCCTGCACCATTGAACATCCTCTGGTAAAAACACTTTCGGAGGTCGATTATCTTGGTGTAAGCCTTCCTTCCGATCTCTTCGTCACATGTTTTAATGCTATCAGAGAAAGTTTTCTGCTTAACTTACTTCATAAAGAGGCTGTATGCTTTGGGACTACTGAACATTTACTCTTATAATTTGTCGATTCTTGCGTACTATCAGTTATTCTTCACTGTTCTCCATTATTCTGTGCCGGGCTTTTGCTGTATTATAGAGACTGCTGAATACCGTTAACACAATGTGTGATTAATTTTTAGGGGTCATTAATTATATAGTTGTGGATGGACATTTAAATTCTTGCAAATTCCTGGCAGGTGTTGTCAGATACTAGCCATTCCCACCCTTCAAATCCTTCTCCTTGTACATCTGATAGAACGAGACACCAATACATTAGAATTTATGTACTCAAGCAGATAAAAAAGCTCTACAATACATCATCTAGCAAATATACTATGTGAGGAACAAATTGTTGGAGTTGATCTAGTCAATAACTCGTATTCTTAAACATGCTTCTAATTGGAAGTTGTAAAGATTCAAATCATCCTTTAAATAGTTTCATTTAATTCCAGGTAGCTTATCCGCTTGTCTTATGTATATATATATGCAGTCGTCAGTTTCTTTAAACCTTTTCTTCTTTTTGTTGAAATGCATTGAGCTGAAAATTCTATGTTGCACCGAAAGTATAATATTGAATAAGGCAATTGATAATAAATAATTAAATAAAACATCGTTACCGAGCTCCTCAAGGCAACCCTCAAAAGATGTTACACCAGATAGCAAACATTCAGTTACGTTTTTGTAAGATCCATCTTGAATGTTTGATGTGTGTGAAAATCCCTCCATGTATTTACTTGCACTTTGTTCCTATTGATCCCCTTAGTTGTACATTGTTGTCTTTTGATTACATTTGAATTGTTAATATTTGTATTTTTTATTATAGTTTTTGTTTTTCTTACGCCTTCACTAAGTTTTGTGTTTCTTCCCGAACTGCAGCCATGTTATTTTACTTGATACTTGATCTTGGCGGCAGCCATATTGAGTTGCTACTAATTTTGTGTATGTTCTGTCCAATCAGGATAGGATAGCGTTCATTTGTTGTGACTGATTTGATTGACTGAACAATTATTGGTTGAAAAGCCGGGTGGTAATATTTGTTTAGAACCGCTATTTACCCGATTACTTGTTTTGATTTTGATGGGCAAGGGCGCGTGTCTAAACTACCTGAGAAGCTATTCAGCATTCCGAATCGTAGTTTGGATTCTACAGTTTTCACTTTCTATCATCACAAGGTGCTTTATTTGAAATGCTATCTTGGCCGAAATGACTACAGCCTTCTTAGTTGGTAGCTTTAGGTGGAGACATGACATGTGCGTACTCACACTGTTGTAGTGGTAAATATATCCCCTAATAAATAGTTCTGTAGTTCTACGACACTGATGCTGACCTAATCTAACTGAACACACCCTAGCTGAAGCCACACCAGACCACGAGTTGGTACATCATGCTACGCATCCTTTGGAACTACTAGCCAGCTTACATCAAACGCTTCTCAACAAATCGATTTCTTTTCCAATATATCATCAAACCCCTTCATTTCCAACTTCCCATTTGGCTAGGTTAGTATATTTCAAACCCCAAATGCTTATGACGCCTTTATAATGATTATTATTTCCTCCTTTAACCAGATGTGCTTGATGCATATCTCCTAATTTACCACGGTTATCATTATCGTACGTCAGTAAATACTTCCTATCTCTCCTGCTATCATCTCCGTTCCTCCCTTATTCTTTGAATTTCGTCTTTACAAACCATCTGCACTACTGTTTAATTAACGTGTTTATTTGTTTCTTTCTTGAAACTACTGTCTTTTTAAGCACTCGAATTATCATTTCATTATTTTCACATTACAGCCGATCAAACTGATGTCCGGTGTTGTGATAGCTGCTGGTATCCGGATCCCTAACGGGATAACAAAAAGCAGGCTCAAAGAAGTTAACCGGTTTACCCAAGCTAATGACAAAGAGAAAACGACATATTCTTAGGAACAAAGGATATTGTCACACCATTACTTACTACTATTTTTCTTATGTTATTGTTTAATAACTCTAAGTTACTTGCTGGAAGCATTGGTAATCCACTGTAACTAGATACGGAGGTTCATTGACAAAAGGTTTTTCTGTTACGTCCAGAACCATTTGAACCATTAAACAATTTGAATTTGATTTCAGGGTTAAATGAAGGCGTTTACTTGACTTTGAAGGACACATGTGGTTCAAATGAGCAGAGTTTTGCGGTTGGATGGAGATCTATTGAGAGCAACTGTAAACGAGTTGTCAAGAGTTACTGAACTTAGAGGAATACCAGTACTTGAGAATAAATATTTGTCATCCTTGGCTTAGTTTTCTAGGTTTACTGAGCTTAATCGTATAATCAAAGGTTTTCGTACTCAAGAAATGACAGTTTTGTCAGGAAATACTGGTGTTGGTAAAACGACTTTCATGTGCGAGTACTCGCTTGATTTGGCTGAACAGGGAGTTCCGACACTTTGGGGTAGTTTTGAAATGCCTCTACGGAAAGTGTGTAAGACACTAGTCCAACAGTTCGCAGGGTAATTTGACGATTCTTTTTTATTAAGGCTAATTCAGTGAGCCACTAGATCCTCCTATACCCAGCAGAATCGCTGAATGGGCTCGTATGTTTAGCGAAAACATTCCTATATATTTTATGAACTTACACGGGGCTCAAAGTTTGACAGAAGTATTAAAGGTGATTGATATTGTGACGTTATATTCTTGTGTTCTTCTGTGTGTTTACTTGACTTAGTTCTCCGTAGTTAATTTTAACTTGTTATGTTTCTGGTTAAGTGCATCACGAACATAAATTCACAGCCATTTATTGTGGTTTAAAGAGCGATAACTACAAATTAATTCTTGGTTCTGATTATATTTATTAGCAATTCAGGCTCATCAAGACCGATTTCTACATACTCATTAGTTTTAGGTCATACTGCACTTGCTTTAGAGAAAAACACGTCAGCAGTACATGTTAAGCATAGTCCAATACACCCCTATACTCGATTACGGGGTTGTGAAAATGGTCACTTAAGTCACAGACTATTAGTATAAGTCGAATGGGTTGCATTAATCATTATTAATTAATGAATGTATACTTTAAATGATTAGGCTGAAAATCGGTTATTCATTTCATTTATAAAGAACGCTGTCAATTACATATTCACACTCACCCAAGTTTCCACTCCTTATTACAGCTAGGTCAAACTAACAAAATGCATAGCAAGCCTAAGTAGTAGTAGCATCCAAGATGATTTAAAAAATACTAAACGTAAACAAATTGGGTTGGGAACAATGAGTGAGTGGTAGTCTTAAGTAATTGATAGATGAAGAATAGATGCATTCGCTCAACTGTAACCTGTTTGAAAGCATACGAATGTCATCTACCTCCAAACGTTATTTAAAAGTAATGAAGCAAAGCGATTTACTGAATGTAAATGTGATCTTGTCTAACTTACCCTTTATCACACCCATAAGTTGTTGAGAATTAAGATGTGATAAACATTAAATGCGATTTCTGTCTAGATGTATTTAAATAGTGGATTTAGACTCAAAATTATGTCAGGTGGTGTAAACATACTAAGGTCGTATGAATAATACTCTTAATCCCAATGAATTTATTAAAAGGTTTTGTACTTCCATATCTGAGTACAAATTTTCTGGATTTCTGTAGTTAGCAGTTTTTAATTGCCTGTTGTAAATCAAACAACAATACTTCTAAATCACCTACTAAAATATCACTCAATATATAACTTAGTGTAGTATTTTATACGATAAAAACTTAGTCTCATAGTACACTTGATCCAATTAATTATCCCACTAGAAAGAAGTAGTTAGATGTACACTTATTTCACTTGTGAGATCATAACTTTGACCGCATTTAGTCACGCTATTGTACACTCACATGTGCACGTGTCTAATACTCGTTCTGACTAGGGCGGGATGAATAAACTCATTTACCAGGTGCTTAGATATGAGGCGCACTCTACGTATCTAGGATAATAATGCTACTTGGTTGCCTAAATCAAAGTAGGGGAGCAGTGTTCGAATCTGCAACTAGATGGTGTAAAATCAAACTCCATAACGACTAAGGCACCGGTCATTCTATGTAATTTTCAAAGTCCATTCAAATTAAGGTGTGAAACCTGTTGATGTCTAGATATCGAAATCCTGATCTTGACTTTGCACTAGTGACTTAAAGAGAATAGAAATCCATTATCAAGACTGAATGCATAGAAACCTATGTGTTGATGTAACAAGTAAACCTGTTGTAATTGACTCTATAAGAGCTGTTGAACTGATAAGTACACAATGAGTTGGTGGAGCTAAACTGTTTATTTTTATTCAGTAGAATCAATATTGGTTAACTAAGGAACAACAGAACTGATTTTACAGCAATGAATTTTCTCGACAAATTCCTAAGATGACGTTTCTTAGCTTTACTGACCGTCACCTTTAAACTGCAGTTTCAAGAACAAGAGTTTTTGTTACTGTTGGTTGAGGTGGTTAGGATATGTGTTCCATGTGCCCAACCACCACCTACCTTGACACACGATGATAGTTGGTTTAGGAATAAGTGCATCCACTCTTTGTCTCCCTTTTGATCCTTGGTTCTCTAATTGTCTTTGAACTTTTAAAATTCTTTTCATCCCAAGAATCAACATTTTGTTATCGAATTATATCTTTTAAGCCTTATATTTTCTATCACTGTTACTAATACTTTTACTACTTATTCACCTCTGACATCTCACTATGTAGGAGTGATATTTTGATTTGAACTGATGCACATATGTCAGTCTACACATTGCGTTTGAACTGACTAATTGGTGCTGTTGACATTTCCATCTTTGTTTTTACTTTAAATATATGTTTTGTCATTAAATTTGGTTCCAGTCTCACATCCAGGTTTCGTCACAGCAACACACTGCAAGTGATTTAGCGTATGTACTGGCTTATTAGTTTGATATTTTCCATTCGTTTATATTAGCTACGTTGTGTAGCTCGAGTTGACCGCTTTAGATATGAATTTCACCTTGCTATTATTTCTAAAACTACTTGTTTTACTAACGCGTAGTGTAAATAAGTGTCTGGAGAAATTGAATAAGTTAGAAATGATGAGATTAGCAAAATAAATGAATAAAACTGGGGAAATAATGTAAAGAAATGCTATTGAAATTAATCATATAGCATGATTATTAAGAGTAAGAAAATTGAGGATTATGACGGTTTTGTTAGCATCTCACGGTAATGCAATTATTTCTTGGTCAATTAAACAACATACTACTTCAAGTAGATTGATAATGCGCTTAATTTTTGATGCAATACAACTATTAAATGAAATATCAAAACTCATCTTAAAACAAAATGTATTATATATTAGAAAGGAGTAACAAGTTAAATTCTCAAAATATAAGTTCAAATAAAGCAGTAAAGTTATTGAGTAAGATAATATACAAGAGAGAACTATATGTACCGAACAGTAGCTTAAACATAGAGTAGTTCTAGATTGACGAAGTGAGTTTAAATATGTAGGCAAGCGAAAATAAAGCATAATGTCCATCAAAATGTGGTTATCTAAAACTGAATATCATTAACTACTAATTCCTTTTGTGTATAAGAGTTTATTTCCAAAAATTTTATAATACGTTTGCCAAGAATAGTTTTCTCCATTGACTCAAAAATGTTTTGGCAACTTATGCTTGAATCTGATATAATACTATAAGTAAACCACTATTCAGAGCATGTGCTTTTTTCGCTGCTATAGTGTTCTTCCCAACAGCACTATCATTTATTTTTAATTCTGAGTTATGTGCAGCTTAATTCACTTTTAAAGAGAGTAAGAACGAAGGTTGGTGCAGAATAATATATGAATTCATTTTATTTCGTTAGGTTTTCATCAGCTGATTACAATCCATGATATTACAGATATTGACGTACTTATAAATACGAGGTTAATTAGAGATGAATATGTGTATCATGATGTAACGACGATTCCGATAGAGTTAATGTCATAAAAAATTTTGTTTCAGATAAATAAAGTTTGGAAGTGAGAGTTCTAGAACATTGAAATAGCGACTAAAACTCATGAAGTTAACAAACATTAGATGATTGTGTAACGAAGCAACTAAAAACAGATTAATTGTAATAGAGAAGGATATGGATTGAAGAATAATGACAATGATGTGATTGAACTTCAGAAAGAGTTGAAATGACGTAATAAATAAAAAAACGGGTGCAATGTTACCAGGGGAAAGAAAGATTTATTGCTGCCTCTTTTTGGATACATAAATCTAGTTCCAGACGTTTGATCTCTATCGCTTCAGCAAATTTCAAAAAGCATTTGGAAATCCCCAATCTTACTGTTCTTTTATTCTCATACGTTGCGTAGTCTGATAGTTGATTTCAATAACATAGTGCTTTTATTTCTCATTATTCAGCATTTTAAAACTTTTCATTTAGACACCTACAAATTATCAACTAGTTTCGGTTACAATCTATTCTACTTTCGTTTCCATATTTTTCTGATATTACTGGCTATTACTCACTACTGATTATTATTCGATTATTTTTCAAAATTATGTTGTTTTGTTGAACTTAATCGAATGAAATTTGTAATTTTAAACTGGTTACCGTTAAATTATGAAGTAAAATAAATTTAATCAGCTAATCTTGTTATTCTTAGTTTGTTTAAACCTACCAGTAGAATTCAAAATACAAAATGCTGATAGTTCTGTTTTTTGAGAGACAGATTTACAAGTTTATAGAATTCAAAAAAGCTTGTTACGTTACGAGATACAGTGATATATATACTGTTTTTGGGCTTGTTCTTTTTGTGGTTTCTTTGTAGAAGAGGAGTGTCTTCTTCGAAGTTCTTTTAATATTCGAGGTAATAGTTTCACAAAAATTAAGCATCGAGTATATATATATATATATATATATATATATATAATACACTATGTACGAGATTATTATATTGATTTCCGACATATGGAGTAGTAATTTGACGGGATGAAGTGTTGAGTAAAGGCAATGTTATTCCGTTCTTTTCATAATGAAATAACCAAAGTGTGTTGTTTAAAGTCCTATTCATCAACTTTCGTTAAATGAGTTGCACTATATTGTATAGTGATGCGCCATATAATTCAAATGATACCAATATAGCACAATAAACCAAAGATCCATTTATATCTTTTTTTGTTAGAGGTGTTAGGAAGTTACACAATCCTGGATTGCTATCATTTGCATCATGATTTAGTTTTACACCCTTAATACATCATTGTGGTTTTTAACTGTTCACATTTCCTTGTAGAATTGAAACTTTTCAATTTCACGTATTATTATCATGAATTAGTTTTGCCTACAAATATCCATTTTCGTACCGTTAGTGGATTTATACTGAGTTAGATTAACTGTCAACTTTGGACCAATGTTATTATGATTAAAATACTTGTTTAGTTGTGCAGTATCACTTACTTTATATGTTAAGGTGATAATGCATAACAGAAAATCACCTGACTATGATCCATACATTTGCTTGAACTGTTTGGAATCTGCCTTGTGAATGTCTGTAACTAGCCATCATTTTCAGTATGGGATTGTGGAGATTGTTGAATTTCATTTAAATCACGAGACGATCTAAGTTAAACAACCATTGAAAACTTGGAAATACCGGACACTTGTGGTCAATAGAGCCAATATGTGTCAAGTATGAGAAAGTTACTCAACAAAGACAACGGAAAATGGTCGCCCAATGTCGTGGACTGAAGTTAGACTTGTACATCGTTGGATCCCGGCTCAGTGGTCTATTGGCTAGATATTCGCTCACATGACTGAAGGTTTTGGGTTCTACGTTCGTTTGCAACATCGTGGATGTTCACTGTTCTGGAGACCCGTAATAGGGTGAAACGACCACCCAGTCTTTGCAAGATTTTTGTGTCTGTGTAACTTAGATCGGTTCGTGATCTCAATAATCCTCAACTATCATTTTTCAACGGTAAAATTAAGAACATTAATTAGTTAATTGAAGCAAGCGTATATTTAGATATATAGGCAATATTACCAAAGTAAGATTGTTTGTCCAGGAAAAACTCGAAAGAAGTGAAGCAATTTGTTCAAAAAGTAGTAACCTATGGTCCTCCTAAAAACTGAGAATCTAATGTTTCAGTTTAGATTAGTCTATAAGTACCCGCTCTGGAAAAATGCTTTCAACCACCTGTATAAATAAATGTCATGTTATCTAGTTCTTAGTGCTGATGAAATTTCACCGATCAGGCTGGATTGTGATCGAATAGGTCAATATCAACCTAAATAACTCGGTGATTAAGTTTCTAGTTGCAGCACTCCATGATGCCAGACAAAATCCTATGAGAAAAATCAGTTTCCCTAAAAACAACAAGTATCCTATATTGGTTGGTCTAAGCTATCATAACCTGGGTTGAGGGCTTCCACTTAGTTACATCAAACTACAGCATACTTAAGCAAGGCATGCATTTGATGCATATGTATTGTTGTTCTTGAACATCAAATATGGTCCCTATACGGATTATTCTTATATTCACGTATAACAAGCTTATGGTTTACATCAAATATTGATAAAATTTGTTCGTTTATTTGATTAGTTCTTTTTTTTCTTTAATATTTATATGTAGACTATGGAGGTTGGTGTCAAAGATTCTGGCGTAGAACACATAGTTATCGATAATTTGCAATTTTTACTAGGCGCCGGTGATGGTGCTTTCGTGGAACGTTTTCAGCGTCAAGACCACTATGTACAAAAATTACGTGCTTTTGCCACTGAAAAAGGTACACATGTTACAATCGTCGCTCATCCTCGAAAAGTAAATTCTTATTTTTTAATATAGTTTCACCTTTAAATAGGAAGAAACTGGTCGTCTACTTTCAATTAACAGTTTATATGGTGGTGGTAAAATTTCTCAAGAAGCAGATAATATCATGTTCTTGCAAGTGGATTCATCTACATCGATCCCTAAGAAATATTTACAGGTTGGTTTCTGTTTACATTTCACTAGTTATTATTTCTTTTTTGTTGATATTACCACCAAAATGATGTAATATTGGCTTACTCAGTATACCGGTTTATATAGAGCTGGTTTCGAGCCAAACTGTTTTTTTTACAAGGACTAGTAATAATACTTGCCTGCTGAAACTGAATTAAAAAGGACAGAATTCGGATCTGTTACCTACTAGTTGAATAGTAAGGTTTAAGCACCACTACTACGCACAGTTTATCTTCAGTACATTTTCTTTAGTATATTATATACTAGGACGAAACGGGAGTCCAGTGCTTCCAGTTTTTCCATGGTGGTCTAGCTTCAATTGACTCATGATTTCAACTAGTGAAATTTCTAAAATCACAAAACCCCTTCTGACAATATTTATAAAGTATTAATGAATAAATGTTGTAACTTGTCAAAAATTATAGAGTTTTTATTGTTTAAATGTAAATATTACTCTTGCTACGTGTATTCTTTGAATCAGTTGAAGTAGCTCTTCAGTAGCTTTCATTTTTTGAGTTTTCTTGTTTGAAGTTTTGTTTTAAAGCAGATTGTAATTGTAGCTTATATTCATTCGTAAAGATTTATTCTCTCGTATCCAGTATAGTTATGAGTATAAGCTTTTTTTAATATCCATGAAGTTTGACAATTTATTAATAAAAACTACTTCTCAACACATTTACCGGTAAATAATCTACAGATTAACTAAAGTAATTGTAATTCATTAACCACTTACCGATTTATGCACTAGGATTTAGACTAAAAGTTTTTGTTGGGCTAGTGATACTACTCGTTCGATCAAACAGTAGGTAGTGTAGTTTGACTCAAAAAACCAGACCTAGTAGTTGGTGTGTAAAATCGTTGATCAGCCGTTTGTTGATTAATGCACTAAAATTCTCACCCATTATCTCGTAAGTTCGAATCCCTGTCCACCTGTTTCGGTATTAGGGATTGGATGTCACGAGATTTTACTCAATTTGTGTCATTCAAAGCTGAGTGCATAAACATGTACTGATATGCTTCATTATATACATTTACGAAAGTTGGTTACAATCTGTAATCTATATAATTGATATTGACATTTGTATGCCGTAAATTTAAAATATCTACTTCAATAATTCTTGTTTCTCACTCGAGTGAGTAATAAGTTAGTGAATTTTCAAATATACCATATAACAAAGTATTACTTTCGATATTTTATCCATTGTGAGAGTAAACAGATTACAAGGATATCTTTTAATATAGAGGAATCAAAGTTTCATGATTCATAAAATATCATCTTGCATGTGAATCTGGCAAAATATTAAAACTTTCCGAATATTTCGGTATAATTGTGAAGACTTCATTAAGTGTTTTAAAATGATTAGGCGAAAGTACTTTTTAAGTAAAATTTCAGTTGATTTTGGATTCAAATTATGTATAATTTTAGAATTGATATAATCTCTGGCCACCAAATCTACCCAGTACCAGAGTAATGGACTCAAATTTGACCCACATTGTTTTTATGAAGACTAGCTATACTACTCACAGCTTTCCAAACCGAAATATGTGGTGGGGTGAATTCAGAAACTACCAGTAATTCGGTTGAAAGCGGAGCACTTTGATTACTAAACTTTGGCTCTGAAACTCAATTTGTAGTCGTGTATAATCTTCTATTTAATGTTCATTGCATCAATGATCATATAAATGTGACTTAGTTAGTTGTCCACTTATTAAAATCTGATAGCTATCTCATAGCTTATGATTCTTATTCATTTATTTTATGTGTTAAACCGTGTGGTTCACTCGGTTGCGTTTATGATAATTGCTAATTACAAACTATTGAGATCCTTTGAATATGGTTAGGAACTAATACCAACTCGATGTTACGGCCACTAACAAAACGTTTCAACAATTATCATCAAATAATGGAACCTAAAATCAAGACAGGTGTATAGCAAAAGATTGATATTCAACATAAACAGAAAATTGAAGACATCTTTTTGTATATAGGACGATAATATAACCGTGGGAAATATGGGAAAATTAGCAAACTAAAAGTGATAGTAGCCAATTAGAAAACAATCATCATACAGAAATACGAAATAATAAAAATATGCTCGTGGTTGTCATTACAGGAAAGAACTAGATAACTTGCAGTCTTCCTAGCAATAAGATACTACTTAATCTTTGAATTAATAAAACTGAAAAGAAAGTTTATGGGGGAAATTGAGTGTAACGATGATTTGATTTAGGTTATTCAGGGATTTTCTTGTAGTATATTTAATTATCACCGTGAGTGTGGAGTCAGAAAACAAAGGTAATCTACGAAAAAAGCTTTATTGTCCCAATTGTTGTTATATTTGTAATCAATAAAAAGTTGTGTTGTGTATATCCATTTGTAACCTATATTAACTTCTTCATAGATGACCTGTATCAGTCATATTGTTTAATAATTCATAGTAGACATGTATGCAAATTTGGTTGCGATCGATTTTTTTATTTCTCTGTTTTCTTTTCTGATTATTATCACTCAGTAATAATTAATTGGCTAATAAAAGTTAATAATCCTGTAAGTTTTTTGATGAACAGATGTAAAGGCAGGAATGTAGGACTCTCCCTGAAATATTTTATTTTCGGGTGATTACGTAACTAAACTGTCTAGAAGTAACAGATAATTGTGTTATTGTATTTCCAGTTTTCTCAGTATGATTAGTTTCACACAGACTTGAACCCGAGACATTGAGAACCGACAGCTGGCAATATTGCGTTTTAAACAATTGGAGTTTATACTGGTAATTGGCACTTTTCAGTCATTATGATTAAGTTGTTCTTACTTTATTCAACCTGTGTGAAAAACTACCTTGAAACTTTTCATATCTTTAATTTATAAACTCGAAATAATTTGTTTTTAGTTCAATATATTGTGTGTACTACATTTTACCTTCTGAATAAACCATGTTTCTACCATTCTACTATTGTTGTTTGATCAAATTTGCACAAATCACTCATATTTTACTTTGACCAATAGTGTTAGTCATTTAGTTTACAGATTTGGTCTAATGACATCTATTACATGTAAAAAAATGTGCACAAGTCAGGTGATCTGATATTTTAATGCACTCTATTGAATTTTGAATGGTTGTAGGTAATTAACAGTATGTATGAACCTAAATTTTAATTAGTTCAGAAACCTGCACTTAAGGAATTCTACCCATTATCCCATTCATCGCCGCATTTGGAAATGTTAGTTCAGTACCTTAGTTAACAGAAATGCCTTTTGGGTGGAATTTTTCTGTTATTTCTCAGTGCATATATACTTTAATTACAAATAGATTTTTTGAGAAAAATTTATAAATATCGGTCACTGATAGTTGAGTTTTGATATAATTTTGGTATTCTTACTACAAACCTCTGAAAGTTGAATTAAAGTTCTTATTAGGTACGCTTACTACTAAGCTTCTTTAATAAAAAGGAAACATGTTACAAGTCAGTTTGCGAAGTGTAAATGTCAGTTGTTTTAGTAGTAATTCTGTAATAACTATTACATTGCATTAAGAACAGTTTTTAAAATAGTTATCCAAAATACGTTATGACAGCTCGAGAAATCGGAGCGACTATGTTATCATGCTCGAAATGCTGAAAATGTAAGAGTAAACCACTATGATCATTTTAAACCATACACTTGTATCAAAATTCGAATGATATTCAAAGTTAATGTGCTGAATGGAGTAATTAAGCTATATATACTTTAAGCTGTACCCAATTTCCAAAATACTGAATCGTTATTTGGTTAGCATGAGTACATAAAACATGTATTTAAAAACCAAAGCTATGAATTCTATTATTAAGATAAAGTTTCGATCAAAATAATAATGTAAATTTATGGAGATTAGCTTAATTTGTAGATTGTATTCTTTAAAGCTCCTTGATAATTTCAAAATACTCTAAGTTCTAGTAAGTACTCATAACCGATAGAGTTTAGACATACTGGAAGTAAAACAGTTTCATCAATGGCATTAGATTGTTGTTGGACTATATTACAGATTGATTAAAGTTGTAATTATACCACTTAACTTTAATCTAATGATTTCAGTGGTTAGAAATTCTATGCCTGTTAATGTCGTGGATAGACACTGTTAAAATATTCCGTACTAAGATAATAATTATTCATATTGAACATGTCGTAATATCTTTCTCTTTGTATATGATATTTCAACAAGAAGTACTTTGATTTTATTATTTTTGATGCAACAAATTTTGTTAATGTTAAAATACATTTATCAAGTTTTAACAAAATCTATTTATCTATCTATCTATTTACACTTTACAAGAAATGAATAATGAACTTTAATGAATATGTTTTTATGGTTAATTATAATAATCAATTGAAAGTTAATTCATTAATTATTTACAATCAAACATAAATAGTGAAATCGACAGAATTCTAGGATATATTAAATCTAATTATCCATAGATTTATAGGGAACATATTATTTTTATTATGCGTAAAAAATAGGAAAATTATTTTGTTAATGAATAGAAAAGTAATTAAAATAAACACTGACCAACTAACTAACGCACTGCTGAGGAGTCTCACATTAGGTCGAAACGACTGTCCAGTGCTTTCATGTTTTCCCATGGTGGTCTAGCTTCAATTGACTCATGGTCTCAACTATTAAAATTACTATAATATCTACAAAACCCTTTCTCATACTAACTTATTTTCATTAAAATTCATTTGGGGTGATTTTTGAGAAAATTATAACAGGACTGTTTCAGGGTTTTGTTGTTGTTGTTGTTAGGACTATTCAAATCACTTGTATTCATTCAATTAGTCAATATTTAGGTGATTGATTGACCTTATTTCCCATTAAAAAGAAAATTAACAGCAGATATGAAATAACTGTAAATTGTTTTATTTATCACATTCTTGTGTAGGTGTTATAAGATCTCAGTTGAATTCCACATCGTTTGTTGTTTTTTACATGTCGTAATGTTACTGTTTTATGGAGAAATGTGATTGGTTACTAAAATCAAATCTGTTTTGTCGATTGTCTTTTTTGTTTGTTCCACAAAATTAAAATAATCCTTATTGATTCCTCAGTTTCTACGTATCCTGATGACGAAAATCCATTGAGACTATAAAATAACAGCATTAAATTATAAATAAATATGACACTAGATATGATTCAAGTTGTGTCACATAATGATTAGGAATGTAAACCGTCAGTTTCGGGCTTACTAGTTTAGATATGTTGTGTTCACCATAAAACCAGATGGGTATTGAGTACTAATTGACTATCCATACATCTTGGTCTGTTTGTCCAAACAACCACAATAACTTATAATCATTTCTTACATCATTAATACATATACATACATAAATTTCAACTCTACTCTTTCACATTACAAACTTCACATTTTACACACCCACTAGCATAAACACAGTGATGTCTCATAGATAATCACCTTGACCAAAAAAATGATATTGACCTAAGCGAATGTAATTTGCTTTTAATGTTGACTGAACTAAATGGTCTGCTTCTTCCTCTATAATATTTAAACTTGTGTTAACTGAGTTCGGTTATTTGTTTACTTTGAAAAAGTGGCTTACACTAAGTCACAAAACGTCAGAAATTTTAATTTTACTGATTGGGACATTACACGTAGTTCATTATTTTATTACTTTGTTTGTAAGGATTGAAATCTGGTGGTTCGCAATAATTCTAGTGTCAGAATTTTTCTGTACGACATTTCTTGTCATAAACTAATTGCTATAAGATGGCTATAGTTAATTTGGGTTTAAATGAAGAAAAATTGGTTAAGATTTCACTTTATTTATTTCTTTTAGCCTTATCAATAAAATCCAACGGATTAGTGAGTCTATATTCATGTGTTATTATTTGGAAGTTATTATTAAAATCCAAATTACTTATGATAGATTGTGATGCACGATGAAGAGCATGTTCCTTATCTGTCTTAATCGATAATGATTGATATAGGATAACCTCTCTCTTGAACAAACTAATTCTCACTCTTGTTATCCTTTACAATAATTACAAAATTTTGTTGAATAATAATTGTGAATGAACTGCATATATATAATACCTCAAATGAATAGTATCACCTCTACACTCTTAACTAATTAGACAAAGCAGATAAACATTATTATATGATTTAAGTCACGAACTGATGGAAGTTAGCCAATCATTGAAAACCTTCAAACACTGAGTGGCCGTTTCATCCTAGTATGGGACTCCCCAGCTATGTGCACACGGCCCCGGACGCGGAATTAGAACCCAAGACCTTGGGTCACACATGCAGACACCTAACCTCTGTACCACTGAGTCGGGATTCAATGGTGTAATAATCTAATTTCAGTCAGTTCGTGATTTCAATGAAAATCCACAATCTCTACAACCCTATTATAACAATATATGAACTAGACGATTACGAAATGTTCATCGTTGTCTGCATCCGTCGAAAGTGACAAACGTATCATCAATTAAACAAAATTAGGAGTTTGATAATCTGACGGAAAACATTTTATTGTTGTGAAAAGAGCTTATTAATATCATAACCTCATCGGATCATGTAGCAATTGACAGAAATATTAACGTTAACTAGAAAGCCAATATGAGATTTTCTGATTGTTATTATCTAGGAGAATAACTGGTGTTTCCACCAAGTAAATATCAGTCCTTTAAGAAAAAATCTTAGATAAAAGGAATACATCATTCTAGCTTTCATTGCACTTTATCGGAAAAAAATGCATAGATCAGCTTGATGAATCAAGATTATATATAGGTGATATTCGCCACAGATTGATCTTATTCAAAGTACTATTGAAAATCAAGAGCAACAAAAAGTTGTCTTGTCGCAGTATGAAAGAAGACACCATGTTCACTTGTTATTTATATGTATTGTGACGACGAACCACGGGTGAACTCGAGGAAGCTGTAGGAGGCTCAGAAGGAGCCGAAGATATTCCATCCAATCACCTTTCGGAAGAATGTTCTAGAATTCCTAGGTGTAGCTTCCCGATTGCACAATGCTAATAACCCCTTGTATGCGGATTGGAGGACTGTAATGATGACTTTGTTCTTACTAAAAACTATAAATACCTGACAATTTTGTACTACAATTGACACTGTCTGGGAATAATATTCCTTTCATTAGTCTTCTGTCTTCTCATTGCGACTTGGAAGGGTTCTGGCGTTCTAGTGCTCATGTTATACACGGTATATCAAGAACAGCCTTCTAGATATAATATATATGTATATAAACTGAATAATTAACTAATATTCTGTGTAATAATTATCACAGAAGGAAAAATTGAATACACCTGAGCAACCACTGTACAAGTCGATTGATGGTTTATATTTTATATATTAAATAGTAATGCCTAAATGATTACTCTATCATAAAGTTCTAACAATTCACTCAGACTCGCTTTTACAAATAATATTTACAGTGCTTGACCATTTAATACACATATCCACTATCGTTTTCAACTAATCAGTATATTATTATAGACCATAAAAATAAGTGAAATGAATATTAGTCATAGTTATGAAAATTGAACGAAATAATAGAAAATTATAGATAGTTATTATGTTTATCTACTTAAATGTTTAATGACTACAAGTTTATAACTAAAATCAGACATGTCTGTTCAATTTTCAATTGTGAATTCAATTTCCAAATACAACTAATTTTTGTTGTTGATTGGTCGTTTTCTTTTTCTACAGTAAATATAGAGAAAAAAAGTAGTATTGTAGATTAGCAGTGACAAAGAATACAACTGATACATGTTCTGTCTAACTAATAGTCATTCTGTTATTGTTGTTGTTGACATCGTTGTTCTCATAAATTTACAAAACTTTGCTTTTACTCTTGTTCTTTGTTTATTTTTCTCGTTGTTTTCCATTTTATCATGCGGTTTTTCTATCCAGAAAATAAAGGTTTTCCACATTTTTCATCACTAGTAATTTTTCGATGAACAAACTTAATAAATGCAATATATTTGTAGACTTGATGAAAATTTGTCTATGTACGTGTATATTTTAGAAAATATTTGGTTATCTTTTTTAATTGATGTCTAGATATTACTATCTCTGATTGTTAAACAGTCAGACCGGGTTTAGTTGTATGAAGCTTTTTGTATTCAAATATTTCCCTGTAAACAATATATATAACATCACTGAGTGCTAAGATGAGATGTTTGTTTATCTAACTATAAGGGAATTTACTACACATTAGCTTACTCTGCATTAAATTATAGCTGCAAAATGTGTTTGAAGGGCGCATACATGCGTAAATTGCTGTGATTTTATCGTAGATGTCTACGTAGCATCTTTCGCCCGTGATGAAACTACCGAGTAATTACTGTTGATGTCAGGCCTACAGCACTTGTTAGAAGTAGTAAGTTCATTAACTTTCTACTTCGACATATAACGCTGCTCAGCAAATGAGTAGAAATTGTATCATCCATAAAGTCATTTACTATTGAACTGAACTTTGTAATTAGTTTCAAACTTCGGGATCAAAGACCGCAAGCCTATAATGACTATAGTTGTAATTTTTGTGTGATGTAAGTTAACATTGGTTGTGATGCCACAGATTCATTCTTTCATCTTCTAAATCTCGATTTCTTAAATCCTTTTCTTCCTTATATGTCCTGTTGACCTGTATTGCTCATGCTAAACTTCCCACTGTAATACGTATTGTAATCCCATTTTCATCTTGTTAATTTCCTTTCTCACTCTCCTGATGTGGGGTGTGATAGTATGAAGTATTACAATTTTTTTGTCAGCCCTTGCCTTGTTTGTGACTGATCGATGTATTCCATAATTTTTCCTCAAATTTCGAACACTGTTTAATCCAAAGTACTTAGTGGCATGTTAATTTATCTTCATGTGTATCACGAATTTTCGATTTTTCACATCTGATGGTGTATCACCATTTATCAAATTTATTTACTATGCCTATGATTATCATATTAGTATATTTTATTATCCCGTAAGTACAGTTTGAAATTACGCGCAAACATGTAAACATTAATCATTATATCCATCCCAAAGACTAGAAAAACATTTATAATTTAACCTATTCAGTCAATTTTTTGGAGTTTCATACAATTGATTATTTCTTCAAAGTGATTTCACCAGTTTCCCATCTTGCCTTCAACATATTTTTCTAATAAGTTAAACACAAATGAAAATGTTTTCAAATTAATTCTAGTTGGTTAAACTGACAAGTTGAGTATTTATTATCCATGTTTTGTATATTAAAAAAAAGAATTCTAAATGACTGATTCCTACTTTATCCGTTAACATCATACTATTATTATTTCCTTGTAGTCGTTCTTGAAACGGTTAAACTTTCATTTATTATTCTTTGTCTCTGATTATTCATGAATAACTTCATCTATTACTTGAATTATTTCGTATTTCTTTCTTTACAGTAAAATAATACTTCAATCTGTTCATTTTCTTAATTCAAACTGAGGATTTCACAACTCAATAGATCAAAAAACACTGCAATCATTTGAAGTATGGTTTAAGTGACTTTTGAATGTGATATATTGCTCCAAAGTTTCATGCTTAAGAAATTTTAAGATCTGTTGTACACTAACTACAATTTTTAAGTAGTTACTTTCACAACGATGGAAGTTTGAAACCCATTCTGCTTACTTCAATTTAGACAGTCATGTGGTATCTATCACGTGGCTCGACGCAACCTATGTGCATCAAAGTCGAGCCCATGAACACGTGCCTAATAAATGACTTACTCAAGACGGTAAAGTAACTTTGTAACTCAGAAATATTATTCAGTGATATTGAATCCTCTGAACTACATGATTTTGATAGTAAACGATTTATTGTCAGATGTCATTATTATCAGAATGTGTTTTCAATGGTGGTCTAGCTTCAACTGACTCATGAGTTCAATCTGTGAAGATGTCATTATATATCTTCGTTTACCTCGGTTCGTGCGGACACGAGTTCGTCTCCACTCACTCGCGAAAAATGTGAATTGGCTTACTTCTCTGAGTTTATGCTAATGATCTTGTAAAGAAAGATAACGAAAGTTCTATGATTAAACTTTCCGATCTCGATAATGCAACGTCACCAAAACAAATGTTAAATTTTCTACTCTAAAATCTTAAGTGTTTAACTGAGATACAATATCGATAACGAATTATGATCACTGATCATTTTTTATGAAATTTCTTTCATCTTTAACTTCAATTTATACACTATTTACTTTCGATCAGTTTCAGACATTTAGATTTTAACCAGTAAGAATTCATTGACCTATTTATGTTTTAACTGCTAACACAAATCCGTTTAATACATTTTATCCTAATTTTCTCAGTATCAGCATTTGATACTTATTAATTGCTAGGTAAATTCATCAAAGTAACATTAAAAGGTCAGTTCTCTACTTGTTATGTTATTTGTTTGTTTGTTTTTATCCAAGGTCATGATTTCTTTAATTTTACAGGTTTAATGTGGTTGATATACAATTTTATTTAGACGTTAATTGGTTAGAATTTTCTCGTTATATATGTATATTTATTTTCTAAATTGACCATTTGGAATGGTAACAATATTACTCATTATGTTAACCTAATAACTATGATATTAATTGAATACAACTCATAAAAATGAAAATGAAATGTTGTTTTTTGTGTAATGATGAACATCCTTTTTTCACACTGTTCAATAAACGTGCAATTTATGTCATTTTTCCATTCATTTACTGTGGTAGTCTTTCATGTAAGAGTGTGATTTATACTAAGGACTTCATTTTAATCATCTAAAGCGATCAAAACATGTCTTCTGAGAATACGCTACTGTAAGGAATCCTAA